CTATTGTATGCATATTCATCTTGATTTTTGCTTGACATTACGTTTCTCAGACTCACCTATGTTGAATTTCTAGTTGTAGTTAACTCATTGTCACTATGGTATTACATTAAATGATTATGCTGCAATTTATTAATGTATTCTATCATTGATGACTACTGGGTATTTCTAGTTCTTTGGTACTGTGAATACTACAAACTACTTTTTTTTTAAGATTTACTTATTTGAAAGAGTTACAGACAGAGAGGGAGAGACACAAAGAGAGAAAGAGATCTATCTGTTGGTTCACTCCCCAGATGGCCAAAATGCTTAGGGCTGGGCCAGGCTGAAGCCAGGAGCCACGGACTTATTGCAGGTCTTCCATGTGGGTGGCAGACGATCAATACGTGGGCCATTTTCCACTGCTTTTCCAAGGACATTAGCAGGGAGCTGGATAGAAAGTGGAAGAGTCAAGACACCAACTGGCACCGAGTCAAGACACCAACTGGCACCCAACTGCTGGTGTTGCAGGCAGGAGCTTTACCTTCTATGCCACAAGGCAGCCCAATGATAAAATATTCTTGTACAATAATCCATAAGCCCGTGTGAATGAATATCCTATGGTTATGTAGCTAGTATATGAATTTCTAAGTGATGAAAATTTTCCCCAAGTGGCTGCACTAATCTATACCACCCTTAGGTGTATAGATGAGTGACAAAACTAGCTAGTGTCAGAATTTTCTCAAGTTTTGCCAATCTCATCACTATTAAATTATTGTATTTCCAGGCCAGCACTGTGGCGTGGCAGGTAAAGCCTCGGCTTGCAGTGCTAGCATCCTATATGGGCACCAGTTTGAGTCCTGGCTGCTCCACTTCCCATCCAGCTCTCTGCTATGGCCTGGGAAAGCAGCAGAAGATGACATAAGCCCTTGGGCCCCTGTACCCATGTGGGAGATCCAGAGGAGTCTCCTGGCTCCTCTACCTCTCTGTAACTCTTTCAAGTAAAAGACCTCTCTCTCTCTACCTCTCTGCCTCTGCCTCTCTGTAACTCTTTCAAGTAAAATAAATAAGTATTTTAAAAATTATTATATTTCACTGAGGTTTTTTCCTTTTTCTAATTGTAAATGAACATGAGAAACTTTTCATGTTTGTTGACCATTCATGTTGCCCCTTGTACAAAACGCCTATTTATTTTGTCTATTTCTTAGTTGATTTTTTTCTCTTATATTCATAGGAAATATCTAGTATTCCATATACTAGGCAAATATCTTTTTGGTAGCTGTAGCTCCCCCTCCCCCAATGAACAACTCTTATCATGGTGAATTTTATTAATTAAGGGCCTTAGTTTTAAATTATATGAATTAATAAATCTTTCTTTGGTTAATGGAATGTATCTACATGAGGGTACTTCAAAAATAGAATTAAATGATAAATTTAGGGGCAGGTGCTGTGGCATAGTAGGTTAAGCCTCCACCCTAGGGGCTGGCATCCCATACGGGAACCCATTTGAATCCTTGCTGCTCCACTCCCAATCCAGCTCTCTGCTATGACCTAGGAAAGCAGTAGAAGGTGGCCCAAGTCCTTGGGCCCCTGTACCCATGTGGGAGACCTGGAAAAAACTCCTGGCTCCTGGCTTCGGATTGGCGTAGCTGCAGCCATTGCAGCCATTGCAGCCATCTGGGGAGTGAACCAGCGGATGGAAGACCTCTCTCTCTCTCTTTCTGTCTCTCTCTGTCTCTCTCTCTCTCTCTGCCTCTCTGTATCTCAGCCTTTCAAATGAATAATCTTAAACAAACAAAAAAAAAGAAAAGCAAAGATTTTAATGCTTTTTTTGCTCCAACTTTTCTTCTTTAATTTTTTTATTACTTGAGAGACTGGGGGGGGGGGAGAGAGAGAGAAACTGAGCACCCATCTGCTGGTTCACTCCTCAAATATTCACAGTGGCCAGGGCTGAGCCAGGCCAAAGCTAGCAGCCAGGAACATAACCCAGGTCTCTCACATGTGTGGAAGGGATACAACCACTTGAGCCATGTCACCTGCTGCCTTCCAGAGTCTGCATTATTAGGAATGCTGGGACCAGGAGCAGAGCCAGGACTTGAACTAGTCACTCTGATGTGGGATATTGACATCTAAATGGCATCCTTTTTCTTTTTTTTAAGATATATTCATTTATTTGAAAGGCAGAGTTAGAGAGAGGAGAGACAGAGAGAAAGGGAGAGACTGAGAGTGAGTCTTCCATCCTCTGGTTCACTCCCCTGATGGCCACAACAGCCAGGGATGGGCCAGACCTAAGCCAGGAGCCTGGAACTTCATCTAGGTATCCCACGTAGGTGGCAGGAGCCCAAGTACTTGGGCCATCTTCTGCTACTTTTCCAGGCCCATTAGCAGGGAGCTGGATGGGAAGTGGAACCTTGAAAAAAGATGGGCCTTGAAAGGGTGCTCCTATGGAACACGGGCATCACAGACGGTGGTTTAACCTACTGTGCCACAATGCCAGACCCCAAGTAGCATCTTAACCACTAGGCCAAACATCGCCTCTTAACCTTTTAATGAGAAGAGTCACATTAATTGATTTGATTTGCTAGTACATAACCATCCTTGCATTCCTTCAGCACATTCAGCTAAGTCTTGATATATTTCCTTTTGGACACTGCTAGACATTTACATATTCTTTCATGAGTATCTTACTCATCTTTCATGAGTAAGACGGACAGGAAGTGCTCATCTCCTTTAATTTGTTTGTTGGGTTTTAGACAAGGTTAGGCACATAAGAGGCAGTGGAGCGTGGCCCTTCTTTCATCTATACTCCAAAAGAGAATATAGCATTGATTCTCAACTAGGAAAATTCAACTCTTCAGTGACATTTGGAAATATCTGAGATTTTTTAACTGTCAAAACAGGAGAGACAGGGCCAGTTGTGGCATAGTGAGATAAGCTGCAACTTATGAAGCTGGCATCCCATAAGCACCACTTTGAGTCCTGGATGCTCTGCTTCTGCTCCAGCTCACAGATAATGCTCCTGGGAAGACAGCAGAAGATGGCCCAAATACTTGGGCCCTTACCACCTACATGGGAGATCCAGACGGAGTTCTAGACTCCTGGCTTCTGCCTGGTCCAGACCACCCTGGTCTCTTATACACGTGGTAGGGGGCCAAAGTACTTGAGCCATCATCCCTGGCTTCCCAGGTATATTAGCAGAGAGCTGGATTGGAAGTCGATTAGCCAGGACTCAAACTGGCACTCTGTTATGAGGAAGTCTGTGTTCTAAGTGGTAGCTTAACCTGGCGTACCACAATGCCTGCCCCTAATGTTCTAATTTTCTTTCTAAAGATTTATTTATTTAACTGAAAGAGTTACAGAGAGAGAAAGACGGAGAGACAGAGATCACCCATCCATTGGTTCACTCCCCAGACGGCTGCAATGGTGAAGGGGTGGGTCAGGCCAGGCCAAAGCCAGGAGCCACAGCTTCTTCCTGGTCTCCCACATGGATGACAGAGGCCCAAGCCTGCTTTTCCCAGGCCATTATCAGGGAGCTGGATAGAAAGTAGAGCAGCCAGAACAAGAAACGGCATCCATATGGAATGCCCACATAGCAGACAGTGGCTTTATCCGCTACACCACAACGCCAGCTCCTATTGTTCTAATTTTAAAAAAGAGATTATAGCCATATGTTTCATGTGTAATTTTTTTAAAAGCAGATAATAGAATAAATGCTGGAAGAAACATCTGATGATTAACAGTGTTAATTTTTTCAGAAGCTCAGAGAAGAGAGTTCCGATATGTGGTTCACTCAAGTGACTGCTCTGAGAAGGCAAGTATGGATTCAGGAATGCAATCTTGCCTGAGTGGCAGGAACACAGTTACCAAAGATATCACTGTGTCCTCCTACTGTCTGCATTGGCAGGAAGCTGGAGTCAGAGCCAGGTAAGATTCCAGTTATTTCCATGCCGGGTGTGGGTATCTTAACAGTTAGGCTGAACACCTGTCGATTGTAGAAAAATACACGAATGGTTGTTGAGTTCTGCTTTGTGCTTATTTTCAAACTTCCTAAAATTATAACGACATAAATTTCATTTTATAAAGAAATTTCTGGCTACCAGTGGAAACTGTGGGAATGAGAGCCTATAACCAGCAAGTTTTAGAGAGGTCCACAGCCTCCCAGCTAGTCAGATGCTGGCATGTGAGTGACGGCCACTAAAAAGGCCTCACTTACTGTATAAAGAGCTAGCTTCGACAGTCATATCACAGCTATGACAATTAGCAACTTTCTTTTAATATTTACTTATTTAAATTTATCTTATTTATTTAAAGATTTATTTATCTGAAAGACAGCGAGCCAGAGAGGGAGAGATGGAGATATCTTCCACCTGCTGGTTCCCTCCCCAAGGGGCCGCAATAGCCAGGCCTGAGCCAGGCGCTTCACCTTGGCCCAAGCACTTGAGCCACCTTCCGCTGCTCTCCCCGGCCACTCGCAGGGAGCTGGATCGGAAGCCGAGCAGCAGGGAATAGCAAGCGGCCGCGCATCCTCTATGCCACACCAGCTCCTCTTTAAAAAAAAATTTTTTTTTTAATTAGGCAGTGAGAGGGTGGTCAGGCAATGCGCACAGAGCCGTCGTCACGAGTTTGAAGCAGCAGGAGGCGTAGGACGAGGCCCTGACGGAGACAGGCACACAACCCCGCGGGAAGGTTTCTTTTTCCTTCTTTTTGGACCGAGCTCGCCGGGCCGGAAGTCGCCCCCTCGGCTGCCCCGGGGCGCCCCACGTACCACCCGCACCCGTCTGGGCCACCGCAACACATCACTGAGGCCCAGGAAGCGCCTCAGTGGCCTTCAAAACAGTAAATGGAACTGACGGCTTTTCCTGAAGTCCAGCAGACAGAAACAAGAAAAACGCACCACGAACGCCCGCCAGCGATCTGCGACCCTCTGACCCTCAGGCCCCGCGCAGCCGGACAGGGCGGGAAGGCGCGGGGCGGGGCGGGGCCGCGGACGCCGCCGGCCGGAACTACGCATGCGCCGTGCGGCCGCGCGGACGGGGTCGCGCGCCGGGCAGTTCGCGCGGGAGCCTGGCGCCGCGGCCCCGGGGGCTGCGCGTCGCTGGGAACGGAAGCCGCTGCGGGGCGCGGAAGAAGCCAGGATGGCGACTTCGAGCAGGAAGACGCCGACCTCAACCCCCCTGGCTTCCAAGCGAGCTCTGCCGAGAGATCCTTCGTCGGAGGTGCCGAGCAAGAGGAAGAATTCTGCCCCGCAGCCATCGCTCCTGCAGTCGGCCGGGCCTTTCGTGGAAGGCTCTATCGTCCGCATCTCCATGGAGAACTTCCTGTGAGTGGCCCGGGGGGCGCCAGCTGCCTGCGGGGGCGGGTGTATGGCTGCGTCTCGGGCCTGCGGGTCCGGCGGCGAGGGCGTGCGGGATTCCCCCAGGATTATTCTGCGTAGGCCGTGGCTCTTGTGTACCGTGTTTATGTTTGTGTTTTATTCGTTCCGCCAACGTTTTTTTTTTTTTTCTTGTTTGTTTTTTTTTTTTGGAGGGCAGGCAAGGGGACAGACCAGGGCCTGGGAGACGCGGACTGCACGGGACAGGGTCCGTAACCCACAGAAGTATGGGCCTTGGGAAGTCCAAGGAAACCAGAGTTAAATCGGGGCGGCAGTGATGCTGTGGCCGACTCCGAAAGTCGGCATTTGTCAGGTGGACGGGGAGAAGACAAGATGGTTGGTGCGCATGGGGGTTAGCGTGGACAGAACAGCTAGACCTGTGTTTCCGTGGTGGGACCTGCCTGCGGATCCGTGACCCCTGCGAAGCCAGCTTTCTTTCTTCTTTGCAATCCTCTCCCTTCAGACTGCTAGTTGCCATTTAGGCTTTAGTAAGAGTTGTAACAAAATTATGTGCGTCTGGCGCATTACAGGTCATTTGTTCCAGGTCTGTTGTGTTTTTAAGCTCGCTCGTAGGTAGCAGAATGGTTACAGTAATGTCTTTCCCCCACCTCTGTATCTTGCGCCAGGTAGGGAGCTAGATGTTTCATTGACAGTACTCTTCTTTTTTTTCTTCGTAGCGTTGAGATGAGCTCAGAGAGGTGAAATCTGCCCAGGTTTATATAGCTGAAAAGCAGCTGTTTTAATCTACATCAGGAAACATAGATAATTAAATTGCTGTCAGGATACTTCGGGAGCGCAAAGGATGCAGGGGTTAATTTCATCTGTAGCTGCTGTAAAGAGCCTTGTAAACAAGGAATGGAAGTTGTAAGGGAAGAGCATTGCAGACAGAAGGAACTGCCTGAAAGAGTTCGGTTTATTTATTTATTTTAAGGGTTTATTTATTTATTTGAAAGGCAGAGTTACAGAGAGAGAGAGAGATCTTCCATCTGCTGGTTCACTCCCCAGATGGCTGCAATGGCCGGAGCTGCGCTGATCCGAAGCCGGGGGCCAGGAGCTTCTTCAGGGTCTCCCACGTGGGTGCAGGGGCCCAAGGACTTGGACTAGCTTCCACTGCTTCCCCAGGCCATAGCAGAGAGCTGGATTGGAAGTGGAGCAGCCAGGACGCGAACTGGCGCCCATATGGGCTGCTGGCATTGCAGGCAGTGCTTTACCCACTACACCACAGTTCCAGCCCCAAGAGTTTGATTTGTTTAGGAAGTGTCAGGTATTTTAGTGTGGCTGGAACATAAGATGTTATTGAATGTGGGGACAGACAAGCCTTGAGAGTCTGTCTGTATGTTGTGCTAAGGAATTCCATCTGCTTCGTGTAGGCAGCCAGGGTGTGTTTGTAACAGGGAATGGCAGGTGATTTATGATCATCTGGAAGCAGTGTGGAGGATGATTTAGAAAGGATGCAAGTTCAGAGACAAGACGTCTTTGACAGTATGAAGGGGAGAGATGATGAGAGTTTGAACGCTATAGGAGCTGACAGGTGAGAGATTTGACAGGCTCTGGTTTAGGGAGAAGTGCAGTGTTTTCCTTGAGTCTCTGCTTTGCTGACTGGTAAGGTACTATTCAAAAGAGGGACTAGTTTTGGGAAAAGAGTAACAAATACCTTTTAGATCGTATAACTTGAAGTTTCCTGTGGGACTACTAAGAGAGTTTTTCCACCGGCAGAATTAGAAGGGTCTGGAGCTCAGAGAAGAATGTGAATAGGTGAGTGGTTTGGCAGTCATGCGTTTGTAGGGTGATTGTTGACCCCACAGAAATGGTTTGAGTTTGCCCTAAAGGAAATACAAGTTGGAGAGATAAGAAGTCCCACTTTTGGAGTCCTCAGGGGATGCCTACATTTAAGGATGAGCAAAGGAGGAACTCACAGACTGGGAAGGACCTGTCCAGGGAGGAGAACCCTGGGATACTATCATCAGAGAAGCCAAGAGAAAAGTGTTGAAGGCAGATAGCAGGGCTGAAAAGAGCCCATTGCATTTAGCTGTTAGGCAGTTTTTGACCATTTGATAAAGCAGCGAAGCAGGGGCCGGCACCGTGGCTCACTTGGTTAATCCTCCGCCTGCGGCGCCGGCATCCCATATGAGCACCGGGTTCTAGTCCCGGTTGCTCCTCTTCCAGTCCAGCTCTCTGCTGTGGCCCGTGAGGGCAGTGGAGGATGGCCCAAGTGCTTGGGCCCCTGCACCCACATGGGAGACCAGGAGGAAGCACCTGGCTCCTAGCTTCAGATCGGCGTAGCTCCGGCCGTAGCGGCCATTTGGGGGGTGAACCAATAGAAAGAAGACTTTTCTCTCTCTCTCACTGTCTATCTGTCAAATAAATTAAAAAAAAAAAAAGCGAAGCAGAAGACTTGGAAGGCTGTGGAAGAATGAATGAGGTGTGAGGAAGGAAAAGTTGACTGTAAGGAGGAGAAAGAAAAGTTCAGAGCTCGGGATATTTTGTTTGCTTTTACTGATTGGGCGACCCTGAGTTTGAGGAGTAAAGTAGAGGAGGGGTAGGCTTAGAGAATTAGCAAGACAGTAGGAAGAGTAGTCAGAGAATTCAGAGTAGAGTTAGGGAAAGGTTCCTGTGAGTGAGCCAAGTGAAATGAAATTGAGGATAAAAAAAGATTTCTCATCTGAAGAAACAGTGCATGCAAAGGCTTGAAGAAAAAATAAGTAGACCAGAAAACAGAGGTACATTGTTGGTAGGATGTAGAAATCTGAGCGAGAATAGGGAAAGGAGATAACAAATAGAAAAAGATGCAACGAGGGCAAAATTACCAAGGGTTCCTTTCCCAACTTTTCTTTATTTAACAAGTGATAGATTTGCATGTGTACGAACTGAGTTAGTATGATGAGGTGGTGTCATTGATTGGGTGATGGGGCATTGGTCTGGGTTGAGGCAAGGAGATGGAAGAATCAGGATGATGCAAAAGTAATGCCTGGGTTTCTGATTTGAGTGATGGTGTTAGTGATTGATTCTCTTCACTAAGAAGCCATAGAAGTTTTGGATGGGATGGAAAAGATGGTGGATTTAGTTTTGAATGTGTTAAGCATAATGAAGGATTCTTTTAAGACTGAGCTGCTAAGAGAACAAAGTATCTGAAAAGACAAAGTGGATAGATGCTGTGTTTAGGAGTGAGACTGGAAAACTTGTAGAAGCTACTTTTTCCTTATGTTAATTACTTACCTCTGTTTATTTTAGTATTATCTGGCATTTTGGAATCATTAATTTTTTGAAGCATTAAAGTTGAAGTGTGGTTGGTTCAATTTATATGGTTAGCAGCTGATAACAGGCTGAACAAATGTTCTTGGGGAGTTAGTCGATAGCTACCTGAGCACTAACTGAAATGCTGCAGGCGGGGCTGGCGCTGTGGTGTAGCGGGTAAAGCCCCAGCCTGCAGTGCTTACATGCCATATGGGTGCTGGTTTGCATCTGGCGGGTGCTGGTTTGCATCTGGCTGCTCTACTTCTGATCCAGCTCTCTGCTGTGGCCTGGGAAAGCAGTGGAAGATGGCCCAAGTCTTTGGGCCCCTGCACCCGTGTGGGAGACCTGGAAGAAACACCTTGCTCCTGGCTTTGGACCAGCGTAGCTCTGGCCATTGGGGTCATCCGGGGAGTTAACCAGCAGATGGAAGACCTCTCTCTGTCTCTGCCTTTCCTTTTCTCTCTGTAACTCTGACTTTCAAATAAATTAATTAATTAAAAAAAAAAAGAAATGCTGCAGGCACGTTGCGTTATTTTTGGGTTCCGGTTCAGGGTATTCAGCCCCAAGTCAGCTTGCTTCACGTTCTGTCGAACTGTCCTTTGCAGCTAATAAGAATGCAGGTGGAGTGCTAGACAACATCAGCTCGATGTTCTGAGGGAACATTGCAGAACATTTTTAAGCTGGGTGACAATACATCTTTTTCTCTCATAAGAATAAAATTGGTTTCACTGTAAACCAGAGGTAGATTCTTTGGTGACTCTTCTGGCAGCATGAAATCAGTGTTTTTCTTTGTTTTTACTTAATAACAAAATAAAAGCATTCTGTTGATATATACCTTCATTGGAATAAGAGTAATTTGATTGAATTGTTTTACATATTAAAATATGGTAAGTAGCCACTAAGCATTTTAATTCAGGAGAAGTACAAATGAAAAAAATCTACAGATTTAAGATAACATACATAAGATAACATAACATAACTGGTTGTATGAAAATTTGTTTGAAAATTATTTTATTTGTGTAGTGATCACTTTGATATTGTCTCATGAATTGTGATAATAAAAATAAATCACATCAAACTCGCTTTTTTCAACAGACTTGATTTTGAAAAAGGCATCTTATTTTCTCTCTGATGTTTGCATTTTAGATATGCATTATCACTTTCTCATTTCTTCCAGTGACTTTCTAACTATAAGTTGTAAGCAACCTGTAGATAATGTTGAATTTGTAAGGTGAGCTGGATTTTAAAGGAATTTGGGAAACTTGTAGATGATGATGTAAAGTGAGAAAGAGTGCTTTTATAAAGAACATATTCTTATCTCTGCTTAATAATTTCATTTCTTTATAATTCAGAACATATGATGTCTGCGAAGTATCTCCTGGACCCCACTTAAATATGATTATTGGAGCTAATGGAACAGGAAAGTCGAGTATTGTGTGTGCCATTTGCCTTGGATTAGCAGGCAAACCTGCTTTCATGGGACGGGCAGATAAGGTGAGTTAACTGAAGAACTTTTAAAGAAAATCTAAAACTGTTCAGTCCTTTTACTAACAAACAAGTTTATTTTTCTCAGTTTTATGAGTATAGTGAAGTTCTAGTGTTTGAATGTAAGGAATGAATTTAGCAGATAAGAGAAGCTGAAAGGAGAGTCTCATCTCTAGAACTGTTTTGGACTATATCGCTTGAGAACTCTTCATGTATGTAACACCTGAAATGCTAGAAATAATGTCATAAATCTTTTTAAAAAATAATAAGAATCTAAAGACATAGCAGACTTGAGTTGTTTTCTCAGGGACATTTAAAAACCTGCGTTTGAATGGTTTGCAACTCGTAGGGGACCTGAGATGAGATAGGGAAGTACTATAAGATAAAATCTAGAAGGCAGGCGGTATATGCAGCAGAAAAAAACACCAAAGGGGCAGTTGGGTTACTTAATTATCTCATTGGTCATTCTGAATACAGTGGGGAGAAAAGTCTTCCAGAGAATTCTTTTTTTTTTTTTTTTTTTTTTTTTTAACAGGCAGAGTGGACAGTGAGAGAGAGAGAGAGAGAGAAAGGTCTTCCTTTGCTGTTGGTTCACCCTCCAATGGCCACCATGGTCGGCACGCTGTGGCCGGTGCACCACGAAGGCAGGAGCCAGGTGCTTCTCCTGGTCTCCCATGGGGTGCAGGGCCCAAGGACTTGGGCCATCCTCCACTGCACTCCTGGGCCACAGCAGAGAGCCGGCCTGGAAGAGGGGCAACCGGGACAGAATCTGGCCCCCCGACCAGAACTAGAACCTGGTGTGCCGGCGCCAGTAGGTGGAGGATTAGCCTATTGAGCCGGGGTGCCGGCCCAGAGAATTCTTAACCACAAGCCTTAACATGCATTGGGGGCCAGAATTCATATTACCTATGTGGCTTAAATATCATAAATCCAAATTTTTAAGTGGTCTCAGTTAGTAATACCTTCAAGGTACCTGGCAGAAGCAAACATAACTATCCCTTCAAGGAAAATACTTTTAACCTAGTCCTCAGATGAATTCTAACATGAAGTTTCAAGAAATTCATGAGTCCATCCTAAGAAGTCATAAAACATGTGAAAAATGAATTACCTAAAATAACATCAAGCAAAAACAGACTGCATGATGAGCTCTGCAAAGCTCGTAGGAACAGATAGTAAACTAAGTATTTGTAATTCGCTTAAGGAAATAAAAGAAGATTGCAAATATAACAGAGGAATACATGACAAAAAGATCAATTTGGAAAAGAATCTAATAGAACATAATGAAATTAAAAATATATTACTTGAAGAAAGTTAATGGACAGGTATAGTATTAGAGCAAACACATGGGGGCCAACGTCTGCAGTGCTGGCCTCCTTTTTGGGTGCCGGTTTGAGTCCTGGCTGCTTCACTTGTGATCCAGCTCTCTGCTGTGGCCTGGGAAAGCAGCAGAAGGTGGCCCAAGTGCTTGGGCTCCTGCACCCACGTGGGAGACCCGTGGGAAGCTCCTGGCTCCTGTCTTCGGATCAGCACAGCTCTGGCCATTGCGGCCATTTGGAGAGTGAACCAGTGGATGGAAGGCCTCTCTTTCTCTGCCTCTGCTTCTCTAACACTGCCTTTCAAGTAAATATATAAATCTTTTTTTTTTTTAAAGAAACAAATACAAGAGCTGGTGTTGTGGTATACCTGCCACCTAAGGACATCTGCATCTCATAGTAGAATGCCTGATTGAACTCACAGCTATGGTACTTCTGATCCAGGTTCCTGCTAATGCATCCTGAGAAGCAGTGGATAATGGCTCAAGTGCCTGGTCCCCAGACTTCAAGTGGGAGGCCCCGATGGAGTTCCCAGCTCCTTGCTTTGGCCTGCCCCAGCCCTGGCTGTTGTGGATATTTGGGGGTCTGAATTAGCACACAGAAGAACTCTCTGTCTCTATCTTTGTTGCTCTATCTTTCATATAGAAGAAAATAAATAAAAAATGAGCATTAAAAAATACAGTCTAGAAAATGAGATAATTAAGAATCACAAAGTAAGATGATAGATGTGTAAACATAATTGTAAGTTAATGTTAGAAGTGACCTAAACTCATTAAATGATAAAGTATTAGAATGGATAAAGTTCAGTCTTACTTTGTTTACAATAAGCATATCTAAAATAAAGCAATACAGAAAAGTTCAGAGTAAAAAGGTGAATAATACCTGTTGGGTAAATATGAAATTCAGTGTTGCTGAATTAATGCCAGACAAAATAGACTTTAAAGCAAAAAAATATTTTTTAAAGATTTATTTTTATTCATTTGAAAGACAGAGTTACAGTGAGAGGTAGAGACAGAGAGGTCTTCTATCTGCTGGTTCACTCCCCAGATGGCCGCAGTGGCTGCAGCTGCGCTGATCTGAAGCCAGGAGCCAGGCGCTTCTTCCAGGTCTCCCATGTGGATGCAGGGGCCCAGGCCACAGCAGAGAGCTGGATCGGAAGAGGAGCAGCTGGGACTAGAACCAGCGCCCACATGGGATGCTGGCTCTTCAGGCCAGGGCTTTAACCCGCTGTGCCACAGCACCAGCCCCAGCAAACAATATTTTTAGAGATAAAGATGGTTGCGGCTGGCACTGTGGTGCAGCAGGTTAAGCCACTACCTGTAGTACTGGCATCCCATCTGGGCTCTAGTTCAAGTCCCGGCTGCTTCACTTTTTTTTTTTTAAAGATTTATTATTTGGAGAAGCAGAGCTACCCATGTGAGAGACCCGGAAAAAGCTCCTGGCTCCTGGCTTTGTTTGGCCTAGCTCCAGCTGTTGTAGCCATTTGGGGAGTGAAGCACTGGATGGAAGATCTCTCTCTCTGTCTCTTCCTCTCTCTCTAATTGCCTTTCAAATAAAATAAATAAATCTTTAAAAAAAAGATTTAGGAGAAAATATTATGAACAAGTTTATGCTAGTGAAGTTTAATTTGTAAAGTTGATGTATAGATAGGTTTCTATAGCTGTATAAATGATCAAGATTTGGTAAGTAGAAAAATCAAATAAATTTAAATAAATTAATTAATGCAGGGGTCTGTGTCATGGCTCACTTGGTTAATCCTTCTCCAGCGGCGCCAGCATCCTATATGGGTGCCGGGTTCTAGTCCCGGTTGCTCTTCTTCCAGTCCAGCTCTCTGCTGTGGCCCGGGAGTGCAGTGGAGGATGGCCCAAGTGCTTGGTTGGGTACCTGCACCACGTTGGAGACCAGGAAGAAGTACCTGGCTCTTGGCTTCAGATTGGTGTAGCTCCAGCTGTTGCGGCCATTTGGGGGGTGAACCAACAGAAGGAAGACCTTTCTCTCTGTCTCTCTCTCACACTGTCTAACTCTATCTGTTAAATAAATAAATAAATAATGCAGCTGTTAAATCTCTTAAAGTGAATACCAAACAAGGGTAGTCATGGATTAGTTCTAACAATAATGCCACCACGTGACATCCCATATGAGTGCTGGTTTGAGTCTTGGCTGCTCCACTTCTTATCCAGCCCCCTACTAATGTGCCTGGGAAAGCTGTGGAAGATGGCCAAGTAACTCTGGTGCCACATGGGAGCACAGGATTGAGTTCCAGACTCCTGACTTTGGCCTGGCCTTACTGCGGCCATAGCGGGTGGGAGATCTCTGCCTTCCTCTAAAGCCAGAAACAAAGCCATGGTTGGTAGAATCTTGATTTATGACAGGCTAGCATTGGAGATCAGTGGGGAAAGATGGATAGATAGTACTGACACAAGTATCTGTGTACTAAAAAATGAAATTGAGTCATCCTCACATTAGAACAAAAACTAGTGCCACGTTAACTGAAGGTCTAAGTGTGATTGACCAAAAAAGTTTTCAGGAGATACTGGTAATAAATGAGACCATCTTTATGACTTTTGGGTTTAGGAAAAATTGCTTAAATAAAAATATAGACTAAAAAGCAAAGTATTGGTTAAATTTAACTCTGATAGAACCAAGAGAGAAGACACCATAAAGAAAAACATGAGCTGCAAACTGGGAGAAGGTAGAGAAGACATAATGAAAGATTGGTATATTCAGGGCTGGCACCGTGGCTCACTTGGTTAATCCTCTGCCTGCAGCGCCGGCATCCCATATGGGCGCCGGGTTCTAGTTCTGGTTGCTCCTCTTCCAGTCCAGCTCTTTGCTGTGGCCTGGGAAGGCAGTGGAGGATGGCCCAGGTGCTTGGGCCCCTGCACCCGTGTGGGAGACCAGGAAGAAGCACCTGGCTCCCGGCTTCAGATGGCGCAGCGCCAGCCGTAGCGGCCATTTGGGCAGTGAACCAACGGAAGGAAGACCTTTCTCTCTCTCTCACTGTCTAACTCTACCTGTCAAATAAATTAAAAAAAAAAAAAAGATTGGTATATTCTGTATAATAAGCAAAATGATAGGTTATGGCTTGAAATGAAAAGCAAATATTAATATATTATGAAAATGATATTCTAGAATGTCTTAGCTAGACATAAAATTTAACGTAGGGTTACAAATTGAAGCTTATGTTCCTTAAGATTATGAATAAACTTTTTTTCCCTTGTTACATAGGAGGTTGGAGGAAGTAGAAAAGATGCTTTTCTCTGAGTAATTAGCCTTGTGATCTTAGTTGTCTGAACCTCGTTTTCTTCATTTTAGAGATAAGAGTTAGAGTAAATAATGTCCAAGGATCAACTCTGATTTTTAGGAATATTAATGTGTAATTTTTAAATTGTCAGCTCATTAGTTAAATCCCCATCTCTGTGTCATGGTTAGATTTTACTCCAAAGCTATACAGTTGGATGAGTTAGGCTATAACAGTTTTTGCCTACCTTCTCGTGTTTATTGTTTTGAAGAAAACACGTCTCTTCTGATCCTGAAGTGGTAGCATTGTTAAGGGAGGCTGTGGAATGCCCTGTTTCCTAGACAGCAGATTGCAACCCTTTGGGTATCCACAGGTGTAGTATTTAAGGGATAATCACGTTCTCAGAATATTTCAATGTTGTATTTTTGTTTAAATGCTAATATAAAAACTCATTGCAAGCATGTTCTGCATCATCTATGTGAATACTTAAAAGAAATGCCTTCTGGGTTTTTCTCCTTGGTGTCAAATCTATTTATTTATTTAAAAGATTTATTTTTATTTATTTGAAAGAGTTAATAGAGAGAGGTAGAGACTGAGAGAGAGGTCTTCCATCCACTGATTCACTCCCCAGATGGCTGCAACAGCCAGAGCTGCGCAGACCTGAAGCCAGGAGCCAGGAGCTTCTTCCAGGTCTCCCACGTGGGTGCAGGGGCCCAAGGACTTGGCCATCTCCTACTGCTTTCCCAGGCCACAGCAGAGAGCTGGATCGGAAGAGGAGCAGCTGGGACTAGAACCGGCGCCCATATGGAATGCCAGCGCTTCAGGCCAGGGCCTTAACCTGCTGTGCCACAGCGCCGGCCACGGTATCTAGTATTTTGATTGTTACAAGTTAGTGAGCAGATAGCAAGCCTACAGTGATGCTGTTGTTTTTCCCATCTTTGAGGAAACAAAGAAGTTACCTGGCCATGGTCAGACAACTTCTGTATGGCAAAGTTGAGATTTGGACCCAAACAGTTGATGTTAAAGCATTAAGTTATACTTTCTGGTTGCAGAAACAGGGTTTCTTTTTCATTTTCTGGGTCTCAGTTTCATCATCTATAAAATGGTTATAAAATATACTTGCTTGTGAGTATTAAGTAAAAATATTTATGCATTGTGCTTAGTACAGCAGTGTGTAGCAATGCTTGATAAGTGTTTGCTCTTGTGATTGTTACCACTGTCATCACTGCTGTTGAAATATTATTTGCAAGATAAATTTTCTACATTTTTACCATTTATTGCTGAATTATAACCTGATTTAAGATCCAATCTGATTTTTTTATTTTTTAGACCCAGAGTCTGTTTTCCTGCTTAGGATCATAGTCATACAAGACTAACTCAAATAAGTGTATTTTATTGTGTAAATTGTTATTTTTCCTTTTTAAAAAATACTTGATGGGAATTTTACCTCAGTTGCTACCATGATGGATAACATTAGAATAACTGTCAATGTTTAATCTGTGCAGCTTTGTAGAAGCCTTTGTGAGAAGGTTTGGCACAGTGCTGAGTGGCTAAGTTATGGGACCTATGAGTATTTTCCCACAGGTTCTTTTTCTTTTCAGAGTGTGTTTCATATATTGGCTAAGTACACTGACTCTGGAACCAGGTTACCTGGACTCACATATTTTTTCTGCCACCTGTTGGCTTGGCTTTATAATATATAGATTACCTGACACGTAGGAGTTTAATATATTTTAACTAATAGTATTTTTGTCTATGGGAGGGAATAAAGGGAGAGACCCATACTTGAGAAAGATAGTTTCAGGAAGTGATAGGAATGAGCATAAAATAGTTACTGGGGAAAATAAAATCTGGATTTTTCAAATAATGAGTGCTGAAATTCTGTTTTTTAATGTGGGAATGTCCTCACACTGCTCACTTTTTTGTTTCTTTATGTCTCAGGTTGGGTTTTTTGTGAAGAGAGGATGTTCCAGAGGCATGGTTGAAATTGAATTGTGAGTGTTGAAAATGCTAAACAACTTCTTGTACAGTTTGTTGGTTTATATTTATGCTTTTTTGTTGACTTTAGAAATGAATATTAATATAGCATTATGACATAAATATTATAAGAAGTAATATTTAATGTATACTTTATCCAGACAAGGAATTTTTTATTTTTCATGCATCTTTAAAATTTTAAATTGTTAAGAATTTTATTTTGGAAAAATTATCAAGGACATTATTTTTATTGAAGTAATGAAATAGAAACATACTATTGTGAAAGTATTTGTTAAGTTTATAATAGTTTTCACAAATTTAAAATACATGGTTTTTGCTGATTTTGAAAGTAATATATACTTACCTATTAAAGTATAAACAATTTAGATGAAAATGGAAGCCTTGCCATAAGTGTACTTCTAGAAGTAACTAGTATTGATAGCTGAATACTTAGGTTGTCATTTCTCATTCCTCCTTTATGTACTAATAATTCTTCATGGTGCCCCTTTCCCTAGAGGTTGGATAGTTTCAGTTGACCACTCTTGGGAGTGGTTTCTGATGGATCACAGATGCCATTTTTGATGGAACCAGTTGACCATTCTTGGTGTATACACCTAGTCTTCTGTACATGAATATTCACATTGTACATGAATTTTAGACAAGAGTTGTTCTTTTTTGGAGAACTGATAGAAAGCTGTGGAGTTTTTGACGTGAAAAAGGTTATATGATAGCCCTTACCATTTTATAGGCTTTGGGGAAATTACTTCTACTTAAAAGTTGCTTGAAATTTTAAAATTTGTGTAGAGATGAAAAATAGACACATGGAAGTAAAAATAACTTGTTGAAAAATATTAAAATATTACTGAAAATGACAAGACTAGTAACTGAATTCAAGAGTACTTCAAAAAGTTCGTGAAAGTGAAATTAAAGATGAATTTATTTTGGTGCAAAAACATTTGAAACCTGTGCATCTGAGGAGAAGCATGTGTCATGTTCCTAGAGATGTAAAATTAATACCATTCTTAGTAGGTCCTTCCTTTTCATATTACTGAATGTATTTGATAAAATTCCAATGAGAGTCTTGACAGGTAAGTTTACAAGTTGATTGCAGCATTCATCTTGAGTAGATTTGTCAGAAAACCCAAGAAAATTTTGAAAAAGCAAAGCTGTACATCAGGCTTTTTTGTACCAGATGTTAAAGTACAGTGTAACACGTCAGTTACAGCAGTGTGGTACTGGTATAGAAGATTAGAGGAGTGTGATGGAGAAACTAGGAACAGATACAGAGACGGGAATTTTATTGTAGAGGTAGCTGTTAATTATGTGTAGGATATTACAGAGACAGGAAAAGCCAAATTGTTTTTGGAACTCTCACATTTACCACAACACAAAACATGACACCAGAGGTGTGGGCTTTTTTCCTACCACACTCTTCAGTGCAGATCATTTGTAACCCTAACCAGAGTTTATCAGAGTTCATGGACTAAGGGCTCATTCCCACAAGACTGTTCCCCACGTCAGATGCTGTTTCCAAGTCCTGGATTGTGACCTGTGCAGCTGACCAGTCAGCTACAAATTGGGATTCCCAGGACTCTCCCCTCAGGTTTCATTATTAGACTGGCTTACAGAACTCAAGGAAAAGGCTTTATTTAGATTTACCCACTTATTTATTTTTAAAATTTATTTATTTGAAATACAGAGTTATACAGAGAGGGAGAGAAGTCTTCCTTCCACTGATTTCTTCCCCAAATGGCTGCAAAGGCCAGGGCTGGGCCCGCTGAAGCCAAGAGCTTCTTCTGGGTCTCCTACGTGGGTGGCAGAGGCTCAAGTGCTTAGAACAGCTGCTGCTTTCCCAGGTACTTTCGCAGGGAGCTGGATTAGAAGTAGCGCAGCCAGAACAGGAACCTGTACCCATGTGGGATACTGGCATTGTAGGTGGTGGCTTAACCCTTTGCGTGACAGTGCAGGTCCTAATTTACCCATTTATGATAAAAGGTGCGGATGAACAGCCAAGTGAAGATAGATACAAGGTGAGGTCTGGAAAAATCATGAGTGTGGGAGCTTCTTTTCCCATGGAGTTGGGGTGCACCACCCTCACAACACATAGAAGTGTTTACCAATCCAGAGAACTCTGTAGTTGAGGGGTTTTCATGAAGACTTCTTCATATGGGCATGATTGATGCTTAAATCAGTCAGTAGCCCTCCTCCCCTTCTGGAGGGCAGGGATGTGGAGCTCAAAGTTCCCAGCTTCTTGTCGGAACCTAATGGGAGTTACCTTATTAGAACAAAGTACACTTTTGTCAGCCAGGAGGTTCCAGGGGCTTAGCAGTTCTGTGCCAGTAACTGGGGACAGATACTAAATAGGTGTTTTTTTTTATTATTATTATACAGTAATATCACAACTTGAAGCAATTCGCTATTGATTCTTAAAAGATAAATTTATAGCTTTATTTGACACCCTACATATAATAAAATCTAAATGCAAAGGCCAGGAAATAATAGGAAAAATGTAGAGTATTTTTAAGGTCTTTGGACCTTAAAAAAACTTTCTAATCAGAATACGAGTCTCAATAACCATAAAAAGTAAGGTAGGACATTTAGGTTTCATAAAAATCCAGCTAAATATGATGGTACCCTTGTTAAAAAAATTGACATATGGAAGAAAACAGTTTTAGCACAAAAAGCCTTTATAAGGCTATACTTCAAAGAATTCTAAGAAAGTATTGTAGAAAAACTATGCGTGGGCTAAAAAAATTTTGGTACCAGTATAACTTCAGTATAACTTTATCTTTTAATGCGGCTTCCATGAGCATTTAAAAGTAACCTTGTACAAGTCTTAAAATTACTAAGCTATTAATGTTTTATGCCAATCAGTACAAATAATAAATTAGCTAATTATAATTACCCTATTATAATTACCCTAATGGGGCCGGCACTGTGGCATAGAAGGTTAAACCTCTGCCTACAGTGTTGGCATCCCTTATGTGTGCTGGTTCAAGTAATGGCTGCTCCACTTCAATCCATCTCTCATAACACACCTGAGAAGACAACAGAGGATGGCCCGGGTGCTTGGGACCTTGCACTCACATAGAACTAGAAGAGCCTGACTCCTGGCTTTGGCCTGGCATGGCCCTGGCCATTGGAACCTTTTGGGGAGTGAACCAGCAAGTGGAGGATCTGTCTCTGTCTCTTTCTTCTCTCTGTCAGTCTCTGTCCCTCTCTCTCTCTTTGCCTGTGGTTCTCCTCTCTGACTCTTTCAAATAAATAAATGGATTTTTTTAAAAAAATTAACTAATAGGAAAATGAGCAAAGAAAGTTAACACAACAGTAAATGAACAATAAATACAGATAGAGGCTCTGCCCTTTATTAATTTTCAAGAAAATGAAGTTAATGAGAATTTTTCTGTCAGCTTACAGAAAAGTCTGAAAATTAAATTTGGTAACATGATAGTATAAAGGAAATAGATGTTGTTATGTAGTCTTTGGAGTAGTGTCATTAGTGCATTTTTGTTTGGCAGTATCTGTCAGTGTTTAGAATATACATACTTTTTTATTCAGTTACTTGTCCAATATCTATTCTAGAGAATATTTATTAATTTGTATAACCTTATCTTTCCCTAATTGTAATAGTGAAAAATTATAAATTACCCAATTTCCATCTACTGTTTTTTTTAAAGGTTTATTTTATTTATTTAGAAGGTAGAGTTACAGAGAAGGGGGGAGACAAGAGTGAGAAGTCTTCCATCTGCTGGTTCACTCCCCAAATGGCTGAAACTGCTGGAGTTGGGTCAGGCAAAAGCCAGGAGCCAGGACCTTCTGCCAGGTCTCCCACGTGGGTGCAGGGGCCCAAGCACTTGGGCCGATCTCCACTGCTTTCCTAGGTGCATTAGCAGGGAGCTGGATTAGAAGTGGAGCAGCCAGGACTGGAACCATTGCCCATATATGGAATGCTGTTTCTGCATTTAGTGGCTTAACTCACTATATTACAACACCATTCTGACCTCCATCAACTTTTTTTTTTTGAAAGATGTATTTATTTATTTGAAAGGCAGAGGCAGAGGCAGAGAGAGAGAGAGAGAGAGAGAGGTCTTAATCCACTGGTTCATTCCTCAAGCGGCTACAATGGCCGGAGTTGAGCTGATCTGAAGCCAGGAGCCAGGAGCTTTTTCTGGGTCTCTCACAAGGGTGCAGGAGCCCAAAGACTTGGGCCGTCTTCTACTGCTTTCCCAGGCTATAGCAGAGAGCTGGATGGTAAGAGGAGTAGCCAGGACTAGAACCCGGTGCCCATATGGGATGCTGGCACTGGAGGTGGCAGCTTTACCCATTACACCACAGCACTGGACCCCTCCAACAACTCTTAATGGCTAAACAAAATGTGGTATACAATGACCTATTAAGGAGCATAAAATGAGTGAAGTCCTGACACATTTTATAATGTAGATGAACTTTGAGAACGTTACACTTAGTGAAAAAAAAAAACAGACACAATTAAGTATCCAGATAGGCAAATCCATAGGGACAGAATAAATTAATGAATGCTAGGGTATGAGGGAAGGAGGAAATGGGGCTGACTGCTTAACAGATACAGGTTTCTTTTTGGAGGGTGATGAAAATATTCCAGATCAGATAGTGCTGATGTTTCTACAACCATATGAATATACTAAAAACTGGTGTTGATGTGTATATCTGAAAACGTATAAACTGGTTATATTTTATATTATGTGGATTTTATCAGAATAAAAAGACCATGTTGAAATGTACAATATAAAATGTTGGGTTCTATGATGTGTGAATTACATCTCAATATTTTAAAAGTGATTGCCTAAGATACTTTTGTACAATGGTTTCTCAGGTGTTGAAACCAAAACAAATATACTAAGCTAGGTATATTGATAAAATATGGAGTGTGTAGTAGCCTTTAAGTTTCAAAAGTGCAGTATAAATGGCTGTAGGTCTTATGTATCCCTCATTTTTTATTCCCAAATACCAAAATTCATTTGTTTTTTTAAGTTAGCTA